GCCCTCCCCGCACAAGCCATCGGGGGCCGCGGGCCAGGTAATCGGGCGCATCCCCCATCGCGGACCCCAGACGGGCGGCCCTCAGAGCCGGCAGACGGACACGGTAACGGCGGGACACAAACCTTTGCGGGGCAGGCAGCACTAGCTGCCTCGGCCGACACTTGTGAAAAGGCCGAGGTCTCGCGAGAGCTCGTTAAATCCCGGCGGCAGAGGGGAAGAGGCGGGAATAGCGCGAGAAGAGAAGCCGGAAGAACCTCTGAGAAACGGTGGAAGCCTAGAGAGTCCCAGGAAGAGGCTCCGGGGGACCGGTCCGTCGGTAACGCTGTCCCGTCCTGGGAGCTTCGTCTTCTGTGCCGTTGGCAGGAGTTCCTGTCAGGGCTCCCGGGGCTCCCGGCGGGAGCCGGGTGGCCGGGCCGGGTTGTGGGCGGGAGACCTGGGCCCAAGAAAAGCAATATGAGGCCCCCGGAAGATAGGACGTTTAAGAAAGGCTGACTTAAGACGAGCAAGCTCACGCCTCCGCTGAAGCCGAGAAAAGGGATCAGGGACTCGGATTCCAGTTCAGCCTGCGGAGACCCAGCTGAGACAGATGGTCGTGAACGCTCGTCGGGAACCGAGTGCTTGACGAGCAGTGTGGCTTTCAGGCCCCGTAGCTCCCTTATCCATCGCTCGGTGCGGCCCACGATTCTGAGACGTCCGCCGACGCCTGTCGTGGGGCTCAGGCGCGGCCCCCGGAGGAGCCGCCCAAGTGGTGGGGACCCCGGCGCCCTCGCAGGGAGGCCCGGAGAGGCGGGAACCGAGCTGGACGCTGGGCTTGGTGGAGGTGTGGTGAAAGGTTGGGGTGGGGGGACCAAGAAGTCAACCAAGAAGCAGCTCCTGGGAAAGTGCGCGCCAGTCCGCTGACGCTTGGAACGCGTGTAACAGGACTCCCGGCCTGGAGAGGAGCCGGCAGTGCGGCTCAGACGGCTCGCGTTGTGTGCCAGCGCTGCACCGGTTGCGACTTGCAAGTGAAGCCCTCTGGGTCCTCGCCCTCCGTGACGAACAGTACGACTAAATGTTTCACGGCGAATTGTAGTAACACATAGCAGCAAAATGAGTAAGGGGCAAGGATTCATGCTCTGAGAAGTCAGGGGATTCCTTGGAAGAGATGTGATTAACCTGAGATGTGGAAGAGTCGTAGGCACTGATCACCAGGGAGAAGGGCTTCTCAGGCACAGGAAGCAACTTGTGCTGAGGCTTCAAGTTCCTCCTGTGTCAGATTTAACAGTGGTTATGGACATGAGCCAGGCACCTTGAAAAATGCTGAAATTGTTACCTAGGTGATCGCCAAGATTTCCAACCACCTTTACTAAGTTAAGATTGTGTTCATCTTAGACTTTTAAAGCTATATTTCCTTTTCTAATAATTTTTTAAGGCAACTGACTCCTTGGAAAATTGAGTCAACTTGGAACTTACTCAAGAAAGAAAACGTAGCTGCATGTATAAGCACCTCGGGGCAGTCGTTCTGAAGCCCCGATGGACCAGTTCCATTTCCTTACTCCACCTGCCTTTTCAGCGTGGCATCCGTGTCCGCCAGTCCGCTGAAGAGGCGGAACTCCAGAAGTCCACTCAATGAAGTTCTTTGTGGCTTCCCGAGCTTTGTGGAAAGGTCTGGGGAGAAGGGACTTCCTCGCCTTGTTCCCCATCTCAGGGGCAGAGCATTGTCTTTCATCAGTAAGTGTGATGGTAGCATCAGGGTTTTGTAGATGTTCTTTATCAAGTTGAGGAAGCTTCCCTCTATCCCTGTTTTCCTGAGAGTTTTTATCATAAATGGGATTATGTCAAGTGCAGTTTTTGCCTCTGTTACTATAATCCTGTGAGTTTTTCTTGGCATGCCAATATAGTGGTCTGCATTCATTGACTGGCAAAGGACAATACATGAATACAGACAGTTTTGCCCAAAAATCCTCTCTAACTTATGGGACAAACTCAGGTTTTACATATATATTTCTATGTTGTATCCTTATTTTTGTTACAGAACTCCAAATTCGAAGACTTTGGATAAACATACATTCCTTTAATGCTAATCAAATTGAAACTGCCTAAAGTCACTTAGGAACGTTATAAAATATAATCAGCGTATTTAAAAATAAACAGAATTATTTTTTTAAATGATTGGGAAATATGTCAGATATTATACTGTTAAACCATCTCCAGAATTTCTAATGGAGAATTTCCCACAGGTTTATATTATTTTTGGCTGTCTGAATCCTGCTAGAACCATTTCATGAAAGACAACAATATTTATACGTAAGTTATAACACAATGTAATTGCAGTACATTGGAATTTCAATCCCATGTTTTGTGCTTGCTTCAGCAGCACATATACTAAAACTGGAGTGATACAGAGAAGATTAGCATGGCCTCTGCCCAAGGGTGACATGCAAATTCGTGAGGTGTTCCATATTCTTTCTTAAATCCCATGTGTCACATCACAATTATACAAATCTTCAACTGTTTAACGAAGAAATCAAAAGGCTTCCCTGAAGTCAAACATGTCATGTACCAAATTCCCATCTGCTCATTCTTCATTTGTCATATGGACAAGGAATTCGCCTACCCTATCAGAACAGAGGATGTCAAGGCCGTCAAGCCATCTGCCTCTGCAGCCACCCACAGTGGTGCCCCTGAGAGGACGCAGGACGGAGAAAACAGGATACTGGCCCTAGATAGTTAAGGTGCCCATCACAGGAAAGATTTCATTAAGCCCAGATTCTTGATTCCCATTAATAAAGCACTAAATTCATTCATTTGAGATATCTGGTTTTCTTTAACAGTAACCTTCTGATGTTCTGACTACCTGATTTTTTTTGGCAAGAACTCCTGTATGTCCTGGCTCCTTCCTTACCTCTTCAGAACAGTCTCTCAGAGCGATCTGGGAGCCTGTCTTTCAGGGTTAAGTCCCCAGTGTGTCCACCAAGTAAAACGTAAGTCTCTACTTTTAGGTTGGGCATTTTTTTTCAATCAATCACTAAAACACAAAATCACATTCTTTAAATTTATGATAAAGTGATGAAGTTTCCAATTACCTGACCTGAACCAAATGGACTGCCAGACATTTCTCCAGCAAAGATGAGTTTATTTGGGGTCAACAGAGAATCGCAGCTTGAGGTCTGCAACCCTGGCGAGCCACATGCGAGTCCCCACACGACAAGAGAGGGGAGAGAAAGCAGGAAGGGCTCGAGTAAACAGAGCTCATGGCTTTGCACTGGTTGAGTCTCTCCCGGGAACCAGGGGGCCTTCTTCTCCCTGCTGCGCTCTGCTCTCGTCCCAGGCTGTGAGATCCCCCCTTCTGGTCCCCCTGCTCTGTTTAACTGACGCTTCTGTTCATTAATTGTTTACATGTCTCCCTCTTGCCCGTGAACTTCCTTTGAAAGCAGCACTGGTCAAGGCTCAGGTTTTCTCGTTGCAGCAGCTTTCTGTCCTTCGGTGTCAGGAAGGCCCTTTCCTGGGAGCGCCGTCTCACCTCTTTTAAAGTGCTGTTGATAGGTATGCACTTAGGCCACTTTGTTTATTGTTTTCTTGCTTTTGTAGTTACTTCTAGTTCTCTTTTTTCCTTTTGCTTCTTGCCCTGACAAACCTCCACCCTTGGTCCCCAGCACAAGAGAGGGGGGTCTTGAGCTTTGGGCTTTATGCCTGGAAGGACTTCTTACTTAGAGGGTATTGAGTACTTCTGGGAAGAGGTTTTTGAGGCATGTATTTGAATTTTGATGGCAGGTGTGCTGTGAATTTTGCCAGCATCAGTTGGAGATTCTGCCCATAAGAAGGGTGGTAACTGATTCAATAGGGACACATGATCCTAGATTTTCTAGAAGCAGCTCTAGAATCATCAGAGATGGAACAAGTAAAAGATGTTGAGGGGTCAGTTAATTCACCTGGCTGGTTACTTTGATAACCTAGAATTACTTCCACCTTTGGGAGAAGTAAGTTCTGGCATGATACTTCTCTCTGAAGTCTCTCCCAATAAATGGGTGGAGTTGGAGGAACGAGGTTGACAGGATGTGTGTCTCTCAAAGGGTCTAAACAAAAGGGGACAGGTCCAGAGACAGGAACCTCTTGAGGTTCATTAGACCCCCCCCCCACAACTACCTGAACTGCTTCAGCACTCCGAGGAAGGGGCTGTTTATAGTGAGGCTGAGCCCTGACAGTGTGGGTCTGGTGTCCCTGGCGACTGGAAGAGACCCATCCTCCATCTGGAGCAGGGCTTCTCCAAGCTGCTCAGGAGGGAGGACTGGGAAGAGCCCCACGGTTCCTTGAAGCTCCACCAGTGAGAACTGGGAGGATGTCAGAACGACTGGGGGCAGGTGAAGTGCTTGAATGTGTAACCGTTTCCTTCCGAATGATCTGGTCTTCGCAGTAACAGCAGGAACGAGGAGGACTCATTTTGTTTAGGAGCCTCCACTTGCTGAGGTTGAAGGTTAAGGACGCTGGCGGGCTTCCCTGGAGGTGACTCCTCTCCAAGGTGCCAGAGGGCTGGTGTGCTGCATTAGCTAAATCTGAGTGGACCTAGTTCCCCATTGCATCCTGGCACTTTTTACTAGGAGGGAAAGGTGCCAGCTCAGCCCACTGATAAACACAGGTAAAAGCTATCCGGGTGGGAATCGGTATCTGAAGACCAGAATTTTTTGAAGAAACAATCTGAAGTTGATCCTAATAGTCATGAACAGATTGATCAGATCTTTGTGTGCAAGTCTGATTCTTGTACCGATCAACAGACTTTGGAAAAGCCCCAGGAACCTGAGCCTGATCTTATAACAGGTTAGTGGGTTGGTCTAATTCTAGAGACCTTCTGCCATTTCCCATTTCGTGTTTCATCCAGTGCTGGGCCTGGCCTTCGCCAACGAGCATATGAACTAGCTGATATGAGTCAGAGAAACCATGTTGATAAATGTGAATGACTGCATGAAACTCCTCAGCAAATCTGTGAAGGTCTTCAGTTACTCTGGGAAAATCTTTGACTATGGCTTGAAGTCCAGCCAGGCCAGTGGGTGACAGCGCTCGGACGTCAAAGTCATTCTTACCCCTCCAAGTCACAGCGCCTAGCGTGACTAGTAAAGTGACAGAAGGAGACTTACCGACGAGTCCTTGAATGTAAAATGAATTTACGGAACTGTCTATGCGATGAAGAACGAATGGGCTGACTTTAACAGGTTTTTTTCTCTCCCCTCCACTTACAGCCGGCAGGGTTTCTATTATTATTATCTATCAGCCGGGGTCAGAAACGTGGGGGTGAAATAAATGCGCAAGCCTGTAATGAATGTGAAAATCTTATGCATTTAGTTCAAGCAAGGTCACTGGCTACTTCTGGACGGTTTCAATTTCACTCTTCCTACATGACAATACGACCTTTGGACATCAATGACCTGTCAGGGAGATGGAAGGTAACTGCTTAGATATAAACATTTAAAGTTATAGAGATATTTACACTGTTGATTTTTACTATAAACTGATAATTTGCTCATCGTCAATATATTCCGTCGAAAGTGACACCATCCCTCCCAGTTAATCTGCACGCACAGGACGAGGAGACCTGGGGTGGCACTGAGGACACACTGGGTCAGACCACGCTAGGGAAGCACACACAGCCTCAGCTGACATTCACGGCCACCGTGCACGGCGTCATTTCCTCCATTTTTCAAAGTTCACAACAGACTTGAAGCCACTCACCAGGTGTCTACAGCTAGAAACGGTGGCTCTGGAACATGAAGTGAACAGATGTGAGCTTCCCAGGTTAGGGGTAGGAGAGCAGGGCAGGACTGGATGCAGGAGGGCCCAGCGCCCCAGGAGCTGGACCACACCACGCCTGAAGCAAGATCTCTGCTTCTGATCCAAAGGAACATACAGCTGAGTGCGCATGTGCTGGAACCAACTGTAAAACCGGGAGGTCTTGGAATTAACATCCATGTGAAATACAATGTTTGTTTTAAAGTGTTCCTAAAACAGTAACGCAGCCAGTTATTTTACCAGCAAAATGGGTTTATTTGGGAATAGTAAAGAACTGTGACGCAGGACGTGCAATCGATGGGGAACTACAGGCAAGTCCAGGGAATGGAAGAGAGGAACCTTCTTTTATAGAGGAGAATGGGAACTGGGAGGGGCTGCTCTAAACTGGGAGCCCACTGGAGGAGATGGAGGGGTTGAAGTGCACTGACTTCACTGGCTGGGCTGCCGCCCGGCAAGGAGCAATCAGTAACCTGCTTCCTCCTGGAGACGCAGGACAGGTCTCTTCCTGCTGGGTCTGCAATTGTTTTAAGTGAGGTTCCTGTTTATTAATGTTCACAAAAGATTAGTAGTGAAAATAGGAAACTACAGCATTTTTAGATGAACAAGAGAGGTTTTATTTTCTTGGAAAGAGTATTTATCACTGACAGTGTCTAGCAATTTTTGGTTGGGTTTTATTACCATTTTTAAGTCCTCTACAGGACAGGTGCCCAGGTGCGGACTGCAGCAGCGTGAGGCTCCCACCATGCAGACATTTCTCACCTGCAAACGGGATAGTGCTAGTGTCACATCGTAGGATCAGTCCCAGCTGTGTGTGTACCGTACTTAGCACAGGCTTCCTGGATGTCAGTTCTGATGATGCAAAAAGTGATTCTGTGGCATCTGGACACCGCTGGGTGCTAAGAAACAAATACGTCATTTCTGAAGCAAGAGACGACTTCAGAGCACTATCCATCCGAAACAGCACATTTTGGGAAATCCTAGCATGTTTGACAGAAATATGATACAGACTGGCAGGAACTTTTTTGAAAAAATATAACTTGTAGGAAAACGTAAGTTGGAGTTACGAGCACAGGTACTATTTGGATGTACTATTTTACACGTGTTCCTATATTGATTTATAATTTTTTGCTAGGTCAGCGGTTCTTAGGATTTTTGGCCACGGGATTCTGCACTTTTAAAAATAATTGAAGATTTGAATAATTTTTATGTATTTGAGTTGTATCTCTTGCTGTTTACCATATAAAAAATTAAGCAGAAAATTTAAAAAATATACCTAGTAATTCATTAAAATGATAAACCCGTTTCAAGATATATAAGTAATATATTTTTATTAAAAATAACTATTCTCCCCCCAAAAAGTGATGAGTAGCATTTTCACATCAAATCTTCGAAATCCAGTGTAATTGGATTAGTCATGTTTCACATGCTCTGTAGCCACACGTGGCCAGGTCTAGCTGAGCATCTGATGTATTGCTGGCTCTCAGTAATCTACGGAATTTTTTAGTGCACCCCGAGAAACAGCAGATGATTCTGTTGTCCCTAATGGACAGATCACAATAGACAAGGGCACAGCTGTTTCTACTTGAGGATGTTATACACCAGGCAGTAAGCCACCCACTGTGCTTAATTTATTATTTCACCTAATATCTCAATTTAAGAAAAGACTTTCTGTGGCAGGAATTTTCATTCCTATTTTTCAGCTGATGTAATCCAAAGAGCTAAGGATCTGAGGGCACACATCCCCTCTGGTAGGTATCTTCTGACTCTGGCCCAGTGCTCAGTATCTCATTGAGAATGGGCCAGTTTTTGCCCAGGGAAGGTAAAGTCACACACTTTAAGCCTGAGATTAAGATAGAAGAGATTTTCAAATATGTAATCAATGAAATGCCAAAAGAAACAGTTTTGTAACTGTAGAAAGGCACATGGATGATTTTCTGAACATGTTCAGAGAATTCCAACCTGTAAGTTGGTAGGGACTGTGAGTGCTCTGCGCTAAAGGACCACAGCCAGGCAATTTACATGGAAAAGCAAGTCCTAAGTAGGTCTGAGCTCAGAATCAGGCTAGCGGGAGGAGGCAGCCGTGAGGCAGCACTTTCCCACGGGCTCAGCCTCTCTCCTGCCCAAGGGAACGCTGTGGTCGGCAGCTGCGCCTAGCCTGTACCACTGTCCTCGGTTCACACCTGGCTGGATCGCCCACCTGGCTGGTGTCCCAGTTCTTCCAGAGCTTTGAAGTGAAGACTTCTGCTTTTGGCCCACTGCCCTGATCAACTCCCACTTCAGCTCCCTAATCTGAAATTAGTTCTTCCAGGAACCATCTGTGTTCATAACTCAACCAGTACCACCGGGAGGACATGGGCTAGTGATGCTGCTAAGGAAAGCAAGTGTAGAAAGAGAATATCCAAGGCCTAGCCTGCACCACCTGGAGGCCACAGGAGCTCCGAAGGCCATGTGAAGGGGGAGTGAATGACCGTAAGAAGAGGGGCTGCAGTCACCCTTAGAGCGGTCACCAGCACATCCCTAGCTTTCACTATACACCTACAGGAGAAGGGAGGCGACCATCAATTATTAATTGATTTATAAGGACTACTTTTTTTTTTTTACAAAGCTACCTTGAAGTGCAATCAGGAATGAGGAATGGACAACAGCCAATTTAAATTAGGAAAGTTGAGATTTTAAAAATTGATGTTCGAGTCCACAGGCAGGGCACCCTGACCACACCTTTGCTGTCCCTTCTTGCTGGAACATCCCACTTCCTTCTCTCTGCCTAACTCACCTGCATGAACTCTCCTTTTAACCTTCAAAACCTTCCCCAGGCACTAGTGTGTTCCCTGGCCCTCCAGGCCCCAGTCTCCCCGTCCACTGCCTCGCACACACACCTCAAGCAGCTTGTTTTTCGTTGTCCTCCATTGGTTCACATGTCCATTTCAAGGATCCCTTGGTGTTCAGACTGTCTCACTCAATTTTGCATCCCCAGAGCCTGAGTAGCACACAGTAGGTGTTTGATGACGTTTGTTGAACTGAAGACTTAAAGGAAATTAAGAAAGATAGTTTAAAATTAATTTGAAAAGCAAGGCTTGTCATTGGAGAGGACTCTTAAAAGCAGCTGATTTGCTAACAGAGCAAAATGTCAAGTATTGGGCAGAATTCTAAGAAATTGCCTCTCCAACTACATTTTCTTCTTGTGTCCCAGAGCGTTAAGGACCGGACAGCCCGCAGGCTACACACCCACGCGGGCGGAGTGGAGAAAAGGGCCCCCCGGCTGAGCGGAGCACCGAAGCAGCGGCGACGCACGCTCGCACCCCTCCCCCTTCCCTCCGGCGGGATCAGAGCACAGGTGGCCAGATGGCCCTTCCTCCCTCTCTTTCGCTGGTGACCCCAGCGTCCTTCCCGCCACCAAAGCAGTGAGTAAGCCTCCCCAGCTGCGTGGCTGGCTGTCCTGAGTGCACCCGCACCGCGGGGGCGCCCCAGAACCGCGGCGGCCGGCATCTGGGCCGGGGGTCCCGGCCAC